TATTCACATCAAATGATGGATGTATGATTGTGGAACAAATTTTCGTTCATTGCTTAATGCGGTACCTAGAAGATAACCAATGAAATAATAAGAAGAAGAGAGCTTATCCGGCTTGAGTAGATAAATAGTTGTAAATTATTTAGTATAGGTATATTTTATATAGTGTTGTTCCCGTTGTCATATTTCTATTTTATTCCGATACTTCCATAGATCGTGTGTGCAATAATGTAATAACGACTATTGTGCTGCTGTTGGCTCTTTGCAAAGTAGATTTTTGCTTCTCGGAATTCACGATGAGAGTTCCTCGGAAACCGATTCGCCGCCAATCAATCGTGCACGCTAGCAGCCCGTTCTTTTTATTATAATAATATATTACTAATATTATTATCATTTGGCACAGGTACCTACGCGTGTCGTTCCCTACGTTTTCACTCTTCCGGCGCGAATAAATTACCTTGCCGATCCCCTTCCCCGTGACCGGGTATACCTGTACATAGTTGAATTTTTCGTCGGGATAGCACAAACACAAAGTTTTAAGTCGCTGTGCTACCGCGACGGACGCGGTAGCGAACGGCTGTTATATCTACTAACTACTGCCATGCATGTACAACAGTAAAAGCTACCCATAAGTATACTTATAAAAATATACAGTATTATTATTATTATTATTATTGCAGTGTACCGCACATACTATACTGTACCTACATTTATATATATATATATATCTACACTCGTACTGTATCGGCTTTAAATATAAAAACGTCAGGGGCACGTCGCTATTCTGTGTAACCATAATAATACATATATAAATAAATACAATAGCACACACGAAACGTCGTCGTTCGTGACCTTTCACCATAACATTTCTTTATTATAATATTTTCCGATGTAAGTAAAAAAAAAAAAGCAGAAAAAAAGAACAAACTGCTTGCTTACACAAGTTATTCCACATGATAACTTATAGGCTATAGCTATAGGTAAACTAGTAGCAGGAATAGTTCTCATTAGATATTAATTCAGAGGGTTGACTATACTGTCAATAAAAAACTATTGCGCCGGATTTACCAAAGTTAAAAAAATGTAAAGCCTTTGACGTTCTTGCACTACTCTCTTATGATGTAATGTACCATTGTGTATAATATGTAATTATACACAATCTATAAATTATCTGTTACCTAGTGAATTGATAATAACTCAACGAATATTAAAAAATTCAACTTTTTTTTTTTTTTAAAGAAACACAAAATAAATTTAAATTACTTTTTTTTATTCTAAAATTGTATGATTTCGACAAATATTTTAGAAAAACATATAAGATTAGCTTACATTTTATTACGAATACACTGTAACAGTCGTTATAGGTCATACTGTAATATTGGCCACCCGCCATTAAAATATTTTTATGGTGCCAAAGAATTAATGTAATTTTATCAATATTCTGACTTTTCTTTGCCCTACCCGACCCCGTGTTTTTTTAATGTTATCCGGAAATTATGTGATTTGGTCCGGAAATCGATTTTTCCCTCCCAATTTGATTCTGTCGAACTTTAAATATATGACCGACATGAATTCGAAAATCCATTATTACTATTTTTTAATTATTGACGTCATATTCGAATATTATATTGCAGTGTAGTCAACACGGTGGCTAAATACGGATGGTTTTTTATATATAAATATCTCAACAATTATATTACGTTCCGAGAGTCCAATAATTTTTTGTAATTTAAAATATCGTATTTTAACGTTTATTTGGCAGAGGGTATTAATAAATATATCTTAAATTTGGCCTTTTCATCATCGGTTTGCGGCCGATCTCTTAGCTATTCCTGCCACAGTTAAAACCTAGTAACGCAAGTAGGCAAACACAATCTTATCAGCATAACATTTAGTATTATGTGCGTGTATACAATATACATACACACAACAAAATATGCTGGACAACTGCTTCAGCCATATTTGATTCCGCTCTGACGCACACGCCCACATACGTTTGTGCCAAACTCCACCCAGAGGGGATGATAATATTATTATGAATTTCGTATGAATTGAATTTGACACAACTGAGTTTACCGTGACAACACAGTGGTAGCAATGGAATGGCCAAATATTTGATAAAAAAATGTATTAAAAATTTAACACAGAGGGTGAAATACGTTGAAAAAAAATATCTTTCAAATTGTATCTGTTGCGTCGTTTAACTAATAATAACCTATTAATTGCACACCGTTGCAGTGGTCAGGTTATAATTAATGGAACATGAATTTCGTACCCTCGGAGGGGGGAGGCTTTACCTGACATTTTCATCTCGGGATCGAATAAGTTAACCGGGAACAACGAACAACTATTCAATCGACTCAAATGTAAACGTAAACGCATGTAAATAGTATAATATAATATTATTATTGCCGAGTTAGTGTATGTACGAGTATAATAGACCGTTTTGTGATACTGGCTGCTGACTAGCTACCTACCTAACTAACTTCAATGACATGCCACATTTTCTTTAAGACTTTGAAAATATGCTTTAAGATATTACAATATAGTTGATGACAACAAACCAGGTGTTTTGAACATATTTTTATTCCTTGGTTATTTTACTTCTTAAACATTATACATGAACTCGGGTAACACCTATCCTAAATAGTTTTTTAATCAAATCGGTATGGTTTGAAAATATTATTTTTATTACTATTAATTTGTATGCAAAGCTGTATGCGCAATCGTTTATTGCAAGAGTTTGACAAATATTTGACCACGCATAATTAATTCAATATTACAATAACAAATAACGTTTTGGTAACTGCGCCTCGGCATCGGTCGCAATTTATTTAATGGAAATTGAAATATTATCTTATGTAAATAAAAAGAAAAAAAAATTAAAATGCTTTAACGTTGGAAAATTCTTTAATTTTTGTTTTTTTTCTTATAAACGTCACGGGATTAAATGGAGTGAAAAATAAGCAGCGTCGCGTCGTCTCTCGAGGTTATACTTGTTGATGGTATTGGATTTATCGGGAATAATTGGAAACTTTTAGTTTTTTTATGTCACTCCGCTCTCCGGTACCGAGGCTGTGGGTTACGAGGGAGAGCACGAAACGCCCTTTTTTTTCATCGTCAATATCTGTTAAAAGTAAATAACAATAAAACGACCAATGAGTTGACAAGGGTCCGCCGCCGCTAAGGGTGAGCGGTGCAAAATCAAAATTCGCGAGAAACGTTTTAAACACACTTTTTTTTACACTGTAGCGACGCTCTTTTTATTCGCATTGAAAAAATAAAAAAATACTACAAATAAGCGACACTTTTCCCGGGTGGCGGCTGCAGCGAATATTGAAGGGAAGAAAATTAACGGCCGAATGAATGGTCCGTTAATGATGGACCATTTTTCAAAACGTGATTAATTCTCGAAAAATTACATCTTTTCTGTTCGTTTAATCCCCCCCCCCCCTTTCTCGAATCGCCTAACGCGGGAGTTTCACTATCCGTAAAAAAAAAAGATGATTGTGGTAAATAAAATAAATAAAAATGTATTTCTCTGCACGTGTCAGTCATTTAACATGTATACACATCAAAGGTACAAGAAAAAACCTAGAAAAATGGCAATTTTGGTGTCATCAAATTTGATTTGAAGAATTGCAGTTTAAAATATTTTTGAACCATGTTATTTTTAGAGTGAAAAAAGCTACTTTCTTGGTACCCTTCATACACGGAATAGATAAACAATCCATAAGACTAACCCGACATGTAACTTCGTCGAACCGACCTCATTTATTTTGTATTCAATAATAATATTATAATAAGCAGCGGTTTTTGTATTAACCGTTAGTTACGCCGCTTATCTCACATCGATGCACTTAATTGCACCGCACCGTCATCGCGGTTGCATCTCAAGTGAAACGAATTTTCGATGAACTTATTACAATTCGCAAACAGAATGCTCACGTTACAAGCACGTTGCGTTTATCTCAACCGATATACTTAGTATACACGCTCATACACTAAAGCTGAGACGAAAGCCTCTCAGTTCATCGACATTGTTCATATTATGTAGTGTGTAAGGTTAACATTGCCGTTAAGTTATCTATGTATGCGTTCACGTTATTAGTTATTATTTTTATATCGAGGACATCTTAATCATATTATTTACCTATGATCGGGTTTTGCTTATCTCGACCGCGTTACAACAACGATAGTGTAATTACAACCTGTAAGTGTACAATAAGTAGGGCCGACGACTTATTATAACATTTAAGTACCAATAGAATAACAAAACTTAGACAGTGGCGGGCTGGCCGGAAGGCGATCGCCGCTATGATTTTAGGCCTCTTGAGTCTGTGAGATCTATTATTTCTAGATAATTTAACTAGCGACGCCTGTTTTTTCCCAATAGCCGACCTTATTGTATAATTTATTATAATTTGCCCAGGCCAATATTTTATCTTGTTACTTTACGGTTCGGCGTTGTGAATTTCAATGATAATAAGTGATTGGCAACAGCTTCTCTATAAGCAATAGTAATATAATAATATAATAAAAAGCCTCGCCGATTGGGCTTTTAGTCGGCTTCTTTTGTGTGTGTGCACTCTTTTTAACGTATTTATATATACATTATCTTTTTTTATTCAAATGGCCGGACCGAAAAGTTTTGCGAAATAATAATAGGTGCGACTGGGGGTAGTGTGGCTGAAAAGGGTTAAATTGGACGGGTACGATTGCAAAGTTGTAGCCGTCGATGACTAAAGTTGTGTTCGCTGTGATAACACAGTATTCCCCCGCTATCTCTACGCATCTCAAGCTGTGCAGAGAATATAAAAAGTTTTCTCTTCTGTCAGCTTACCGTTAACCGTTCACATTTGTTTGTACATATTTTCAAACCCTCCATTCCTTTCGGGCCCTTTTTATTTACGATTGACTATTAATATAGTTTTTAAGAAACCAAGAACAACGAAAATATATGTAAACTATTATAATACTATTATATCTGATCTGAGGCTTACCTGTATGCAATCTGGTGTGCTGCTGTACGTGACTGAGCTGCTTAAACCGGCGCTCGCAGTAGGAACACTTGTAAGGTTTTTCGCCGGTGTGCACCCTGATGTGCTGGACCAGCTGATGGTTGGAGCTGAACGACTTGAGACATTGCTGGCACTGGTGCGGTTTGCTCACTTCCAGGCCACTGCCGCTCAGCGAACTGCCGCCGATGCTGCCGGGTCTGCCGAAATCTCGGGCTTGCATTTGCATGGCCGCCGACTTCTGCATGAATATCTGTAAAGGTCCATAATGAATGCCGGCGGTCAAATAAGGCGCACAATGACGGTTCTTTAAAATATAATATGATACAACTATTCGGGCCACAGCCGCCGAAGTACCGGGTGAGTCGCTGCATGCTTCGCGATCAAACGCACCGCTGATACTGCGACGGCTGTGTAGTTTGTTGTATAACACTAAAAAAAAAAAAAAGAAAAGAGGACCCTACTGCCACAACACTATGATACAATACAGCAGCAAAGGGTTAAAGAATCGAAAAAGAGATAAAAAAAAAAAAGTGGTCCGAAACAAGTCTGTATCGCGGAAGGGTTGGTCCACCTGTTTGACAGGGGTTGAATGTGTTGAAATGAGGGATTAGTTATAAAAAAATAAAACTAAAAACGACGAGGATAAAAATATGATTATTTTATGTGATGAGTGTTAAATTACTTAGTAGGATAATATAAAACTTTTCCTTCGTCCGCACCGTCGTGTTTATACATCGTGTTGTTATTATTAATTGAAACGTCCCTTCTTTATAACGCTCCGCCCGCCTTCATCCACGTATGATTAATATAATTAAACGATTGAGTAATTACAAACTTGTAACTACTACTTATACACGTATCGTGCCATTTAAAAACATTGACTTATTGCTGGCAAATAAATATTTTCGAGAGATAAAAAAAAATAATAACAAGAATTGCCAGGTACCTACTACGCTTTGGTATTTTTTTTTTCAACAATAAACCACTTAACAATGATTAAAATGTTTTGCAAAGCGTCGGCTATACGGCGCGTTCTCGTGTACTTTTTTTTTATAATATTTAATTTCGCCGCTCTTAAACCAATTTGTACACGGGGGTTGGCGGTAAAGGGGTAAATCCATTACGGGACACACTTAGTGAACGCGGTTTGATTTTTATGGATTCCAACGGTGATTAACAACCTATTTTTTCGTCGGCGTCGCGCTACAATAATAATATTTTATTCTCCCTCGCGGGCGCGCGATGACTGATAACCGGAACGTTTGGAAACGTCGTGGAAAAATCGAATTACTTATATTAATTTTAATTTACAATCGAAAGATAACGGACGGCGGCGATAGTCACCTGCACCAACACACCCACGCCACGGCATAAGGTATATACGGTGGCGCGGGGCATCTTAACCTACATTGCTCGTAGCTCGTATAGCTATATATATATAGGTATATACAAATAATTGTTAACACGCGGAGGAGGGGGTGCGCGCGCCCCGACGCCAGGTGATTGCCGACACCGGAAAAAAATTAAACAAACAACCCTTTCGGACAAATATTATTAGGACACGTCAGATGATAACCAAACGCCGTCGCCGCCGCCGGACCCTTAATGAACACTAATGATGCGACCCGACAGACTGCGATCCATCAAACCCGCGCACTTTTCTCCCTCTTTTGGCTGTATGTACTCAAATTTTGTTCTTGTGTATATAAGTAGGTACTACGAAACGATATAGGAGCAGGGAGGAAGGCGAGAACGCTAATAGCCTACAACAATGTTCGGGGGTCCCCAGACAAATGTAAACAGACATTTAAAAAAAACAAATAACCACAGTAATAGAATAAAACCGCGTGGGCGGCTGTGTGTCACATTGGTCGTGACTCGCATCGTCTTCACGCGCAGCAGACACATTTATAAACGTTGTGTATACACGGCCGTACCGCCGCGCCGGGGTCAACGCGCCTTGTGTAACATATTTTGTTCATATTATTTTTTTCGCTGTAAAAATAAGATAGCGCTTATCGCGTTGAGGCAGGTCAGAAACGCGAATCTATAAGTACCGACGGGCGAGAGTGGGCGTAAGGCGCGATCCGCGGGCTGACCACTGCCAACGATGTGTGTGTGTGTGTGTGTGTGCAAGTGTTTGTGTTTGTAATAATTATAGAATTTATCTAAAAATACTCAGGCAAGGACAAGAGCGCGGTAATACGCGGCATTATGTTCCATATTTCGGTTCTGATTTCCCTCTAGGTGTTGTCAATGTTATTGCTACCGTTGTCTTATTTACATTCGCGTATAAGGGAGTATCGAGGTTCAATGATAATGTGTTAGACACGTTAGTGAAAAAGTGTAGTCACTAGAAATGTTATAAAAAGAAACCGTGCGATGCACAAAAAACGAGCTGTCGAGCCAACTCAAAATATTAATCGCTTCTACAAAAAGATTCAAGTCGAATAACATGTTATTCAGTAAATATCGCTGAACTATACGTCTTGTAATACACGCATTGTTGACAATGATTTTTCGAAGGATACAAATACAATATAGCGTGTTCGAATCATGGTTAGTGGATCCCTTAGCCTTTTCCGCTCAAATAGGGATGTAAAAAAAGAGCAATTTTTATAATTATTCGCTGCTAATGAAAATAACTCCCATAACTTCCGAGTAATATTTTAACATTAACGGCAGGGTCTAAACAATCGATATGCGGTACGATTACTCAATTATTTTTGGTCTTTGACATCATCAATGTCGCGAAATACCGTTGCTAAGTATTGTGAAACCTCGGTCCTTTGTATCCCCGTGTTATCCGGCACTATGAATTATAGCTTTGCAATACACACTCACACACATACTATTCCGGGAAATACCCGTACAAGTGCATTATCGTCGTGACGCGCATTTAACCCACTTAGGTGTTCAAATCGCCCTCGAGCCGGCGCCCCGTCGTTGGTTGGGCGAGGCGCGGGTCGCGTGCACATCGGCCGCGTCTACTCACTTTGGTTTGAATCTCCGGTAAGCTGAACTTCATGGTCGCACTGAACACAATAGGTGTGATTTACAATAACAGTATACCGTGCGATTACGTTGGCGCGTCATTCACACCGTTTAACTTGTAGTGTATAATAAAATAGAATTAAAAAATGCAACCGCAATCGTGATAACGACTATGACCATGTGTAATTATTCGCGTTATAATTACCGCAAAAGCCGAGCGTGAGTGTACAATGTTGTGTTTGTGTGTGAGATTGATACGACGTCGGTTTTATATTGTTATATTTTAGCGTAAGCCACCGTTGGACAGACCCGACGAAGACGAAAACCGTACTGCTTGCCGCCGCCGACGCCGGGCAACATCGGCCCAGCGCAACGTTGACTTAGGTCAGGAACTTGAGGCATACATGTACATGTGTTTTTTATATATATATATATATACATATGTATATACAACGGCTATACATTGTGCGAGTGTGTGTGTTCTTTCTTTATCGCGCTCGCATACGTCACCAGACGTTTAACGACCTCGCCGCCAAACGCTCGGAGTAAACATATGTAACATATATATATATTATACATAATATTAATACAATGTATCATAACGATCGCGCGCAGAACAATTTATAACCGTACGAAATGAAATCATGTTCAAAACGAAAAATTTGCAAACACGAGCGTTCCGTCTTTTCTTGTCTCTGTCTCGTTAGCACGTTAGTCTCGATAGGACTGTATATATTTTTGTAATATATTTTTACGGAGAATTGAAAAATAATGAAAACCGCCTCCGGGCCATACACGAGAGTGGTAAAAAATTGTCGAGGAATTTTGCGTTTTCTCTATTACGAAATAACAATAATATTATTTTAATATTGTTCGTGTTTTGCCGATATTAATAAAAACGTAGCCGCGAGAGTGCACCGAAATCAGATAATAATGATAATATTTTATGAACTAATAATATACAATATAACGGCTATATTTTTGGCATTTTTTTTTCTTCTGTTTACCCTACCGCTCCGGGCGCCTTACAGAGGGATAATAATAATAGTAACACGAGAAAAACCGGCGGCGAGGCGAAAACCACTCGGACAACGACGACGGTGAAGAAGGCGTTTAATTTATGAGTTCGCATTTCTCGCGTGCTCCGTTCGAATTTATTTCTTTCGGAAGCCTCGACGACGTTTTTCGTTTTGTACACTACTAGGTACTACTACTATTACTACTAGTATTATTGCCATTACTATTATTATTATTATTATTGTTACAATCGTGTGTGTGTATTTGCGTATGAAATTGACTGTCCGGACCGCCGCCGCGGCCATTGTTGATTTTTTTTTTGTATTTTTCAGGCGGCTCTCCGCAAGCAGTGGGTACACGATTGCTTAGGGGTGGGTAAATGAAGGGGGGGTGGGAGACAAACGGGAGGCCACTACCGCCAAGCTCCTATTAGTATCGCTAGGTTTTGTGTGTATACGTGTGTGTGTGTGTATACAACATAATTAATAGCCGTCGCTTCGCGGTCCGACGGCTTTGGGCCATTGTTTTTTTGTAATTTTTAAATTATTTTCGTTCGATACATTTTTCATTGTTTTTGACGGCAATAATAGGTTAAACGCGAAGCCTTCGGGTCTGAACGCGGATCGGCTTCCGCCGCCGCAGCCGCCATAGCCGTCGCCTCAGACGTGATTCGAATGTAAATAATAATTTATATTGTAATATATTTTTGTTAATAAGCCAACGCGTGTCTTTTACTGTATTTTTAAGTGATACGCTTCGATAAACCGGACTTGAAAAATATCATTTTTTTAAGTTTTAAAATATTTACGTTTTAAAAATTATTATTGTTAACGTTGACAAAACTCCTGATCGATGATATGAGATCTAACTAACAAAATACATGTACTACAATTAATATACGATTAAAAATATGTTGACCAGAAAATAATATTGTGAAAACATCAAACAAATGTATTTATTGTATTTCTAAATTTGACTTTCAATTAATAATATTTACAATGTACATAATGTATTTTTTTCGTTTATTTATTTTGTGATGTGAAAAATGAAAATTACTTTCGACCGTTGCACTCTAACGATCAAAATGTAAAAACGTTTATTTTTTTAACGTCCCATTTATAAAGCAAAAAAAACGTACCAGAACCGGATTGTCCCTTGCACCTATACTATGTGCATGTGATGATAACAAAGCTGCCGGGGTTTCTTTTTCATTTAAAACAATACGATGTTAAAAAAAAATACAAACTCGAATACATACACAACTGACGGCAGCTGCAGTTAGAACGGAGTACACTTAGATGATGGTTGATTTTCTCACGCGTTATATCATTGTAATAACCGCCGTACGAATTTAGTATTTAACAAGAGTTCGGGAATAAATGTTTCGTGGAAGGTGACTTGGCGCGTGTTATATGTTATAATAATGTGTTTTGAAGTATAACAATATAATATATTATATATATATATATATATATGTATAAAATGTGGGTAGGCGGAAACAAAAATAATAATATAACGAGTAATACTAATAATAATAACAATAATAGTTTATATTGTATAAGTAAGTAGGTAAATAAGTATACGTTAATAATTATAATAATTGAGGTCCGACGGATCAAGACGTGGGGTTTATAGCTATCAAATGCGGTGAATTTACATACAAAACCACAATCGAATGGAGACGGATACAATTTATACATATATAAATCCTTTGTTGCGACATAATGTTTTTAATTGACGTAATGCAAAAAACCGTATAATATAATATATACCGTGCCGGTCATCGATCCACGAGGGACGTTGGAAAAATGGAATGTTTTATACGAGTATTATACCGCGCCGAGAAGATAGGCATCTCTCTCGGTTGGTCATACGACCGCAACGCGATATTGACAAGCCCCCGCCTAAGTAAAGCATAATATGTAAAATCTATTGCAATGTGCACGGTGATAGTGCAGCTGTTGTGTAAACATTTAAAGGCAAAAAAATTGTTCATAGTTACTGAAAAAGCTATCTATCGACCTGATGGATAATTTAGGTATGCCCACACAAGTAAATAGTCCTAAGGGTTACACGGGAATCGGGATGTCGAATAATTGCGTTCAGAAGTTATAATCATAACGCTATATAATTTTAATTTTAAATTAAACCATTATCAGTGATAAATAAATATGATATGTCGAAATGAAAATTATGCGCTTCAAAAAACAAAAGCATACAAACAAAATATATAAATATGTATTTGTATAAAACTTGGAATAAAACGAAATGATGCACGTAATATGGTTGCTAATGAAAATGTGTTTAAGGATAAATATAATTGTATCATTATTGATATTATTAATATATTATGATTAATTACGTGATGATAAATTAATTAAATGGTTAGATACTACTGATAGTTAATTATGAATAATCCACTAGTATAAAACTATTGTAGATATGTAACTACAGAATTTTTAGAGATAGGTATGCCTCTTTTATCCCATACGCTTGGTAAAAAATAATTGTTTATTTGGTTCTAGAAAGTATATTGTTTTTATATATGTAAAGAATACATTGGCTCAGTGATAAGCCGTTAATCACTGAGCTTATCTAGAGATTTAAAACGTAAGTTGACTGTGGAAATAAAAAATTATTGTAAGCTAACTGATTTCAATGAATAAACAAATAAATTTATATAAATTATACTACGATTATGATTAGAAATGTGTTGGTAACTAAACATTTTGACTAAAAATGGAGTCTGGAATTTAACTAGAGACAAAAAAGTAGGGTAAAGTGTGAATTGATTATATTACTTGTCTATACATTTTAACTGTGAAGCGAAATCAACTATGTGTGTATAAAACCATCACTCGCAATACGATAAAAATGATCAATTAATCGGTTGTTATAATATGTTTTTGTCTGATCGCCTGCAAAAGGCGCGTGCATACACACACACACATTTATACAAATATCGTATCGACAGGAGACGCCGGTGTAGGTAGAACGATCGCGTGACGACTCCAGCAAACGACTATTAAGTTCTTTATATTATTATTATTTTGTTGGTCGCTTGTACATTTTTTACCGTCTTATATTGCGTACGTGTATCGTGTGTAGGGAACTCGATTCACCTTTTTGTTTGAATATCGTAACATAGTTAGCAAAAATGGGGTAGAACAACGAATAAAAAGCGCAATATACAACTCGACGGTATAAAAGTATAATATAAAAGGCATGCGGGTTACTCGAAAAAAACATACTTAAGCAAAATCATAATGTATAATATAACCACACTAAATCAAAACGTTCACACAAAAAATAATAATAAAACGCATACAAAATAATAATGAAAACGAATAAATCTATTAAACATTATTATGGTGTAAGTGCGTACTGAACGAAAGACGTTCCAGCTGACTCGCTGTAGTGTGGACCAGCATTCTTCAAGAGTGCGGTCTGATATCGATCGGTTCTGCACGTCCAAAGAAATCCACAGAGACAATAAGCAGCGTTAGAAAAAAAACAACATATTTTGTTTAGTTATTTATACATAGATAATGAAACCATTTGTAAAATAATTTGAGTTAGCATGATTTACTTATTATCAAAATAAACACAACAGTTATGTAATGAATAATGATTAATCCAACAATACAATTCAATTGATATAATATTGTATTTATAATATAATTTTTATCACAATTTTATTTGTTTACATAAATGTTGTAAAAAACTTATTTTCTCGATGCTAACTTATTAACCGTAGCTTTAAAAAAAAAAATGTACCGCTATTATGCATAGGCAATACAATTGTAAGTCAATAAAGACTATTAAGGTTTTGTTGAAGTATCTATATACCTAAGAATATATGTGAGGTACGTAGACTTTATAACGAAGACTTAGTATGTCAATAAGGACTAGTGTTTATTGAAATATAAACAAAATACAATATGCAAGTAGTTTCTTTTGGATGGTATAATATTATCTGTTATACGTATATTTTTTCATTATTATTGGATTTTGTATTGCTATAGTTTGTTTATTTTATTATTATTTTTTTAGTAAAAATAATGCTTGATGGTTTTTGTTTTTTCTTTTCTTAAGTTTACGTCGACGGTTAGCCGATGCGATTTGAAAGACTAACAGGCCGAAGGGGTTGCTACCCGGGTTGTGTTCACGTGGTCACTGGTCGGCTGTTTAGGCGGCAAAAAGATACGACGACGGCAACGAAGAGCGCGCCACCAAACGACTGGCGGTTTCGGCGTCTAAACAGGATAACGCGCATGTCCTCGACCGTTCCTTTTCTCGTTCGTGTCCTTAAACCCTGCACCGCCCCACCACCAATCCTCCGAATGGCCGAAAGTCTGTTTCCACCGGACGGCAGACGGCCGGGATACGCCTATTATTATTGTTTCATAGAGAAATTTATGAATTTTTCGCCTCAGGTCGTAGAAATGTCCTTATAGAACCGTATGTACATATGATCTTTCAAGCTACCGGTAACGCTGAAATCCGTCTGGTGATGAAATCGGAACAAACGGCATAAAAAACCGGATATCCAAAAATAAAAAACGGCGACCAGGACCGCTAACTACCCCGCTTTCGAAATGAGCACACCGGTCTAGTATGTATGTGTGTGTTCGTTGGACGTACAATACTATAATAGTATGTTAATGGGGGTCGGCTGACGTTGCGCAACACCTTTGCCATACAACCACCACCACCATCCGCTTGTATTTAGCCCGTGCCCAAACCGGTCGACTTATTTTTTTTTCCAAAAAAGGTTAGGTCATAATGTAAATAATAATAAAAAACTACCCCCCCAAAATTCCCGGTGTTTTTCGAACGGACAACGAGCAGGACGCCGTGTCCAGTCGATCAGTTTAATTTCTCAATTCAACAACAACCGCGACGACCACCGTTAACTTAGATATTTATTTAATTTAGCTCGGATATTTTATAATAATATTATTATACATTTTGTTACTGGACCCCGCACAAGTGTTTTCCGTAAGTTCTAAAGTACACTTTAAGAAGTAAAATGGCAAAATATTTTCATTGAAACGCTTTATTACACTACATAGTTGTATTTTGTATTGCTTATGTTTACACATTATCAGTTTGAGAGCGTTTGTGGACGTTTTTTTTTACGAGCTTCAAGTAAAATATAATATTATATAAAAGCGTTATAAAAATACATCTTATCACGTTCTGCACGCAACACGCACCGAAACACGAGTATAATTATTGTTTAATTGAAAACTGACCAGCTTTTTGTGAATAGTATATTTGTTTAAATACGGTAATTTTAATAAAAAAAGATATTAAATACTAATAGGTTTTTTATGGATAATTGTGATAATATGTATTATCAAGATTTTTTTTTAAACATGTTTAAACAGATTGTTTGAGTTATTTGTTTAAACTTTTAGTACAACATTTTTCACCATGATTTAATTTTTTAAATAGTAAACTGTCATATTTAATTAAGTTATTTTATAGTTTTTTTTTTCTGTTGTCCGAGTTTTGTTTGATATTGAGCCAACAATATGAGCTGTATATTAGTTTTATTATTATTTTAGTATACATCTTATTACCTCCGGATATTTTTATTTTAAAAATAAAATAATATTTTTGTTTTGCTCTTTTCATTGGGTATTAATACACATGCATCATTTTATTAAAATGACAATATTTCTTTTTTAAATCACATTAATAGATTTCAAAACGGTACGCTTGGCAAATGAATAAACATTTTTAATAACTAAAATAAATCTCCCCTTTGATATTTTGCGGAATGAAAAAAATAAGATCGAAGAACGAGGTTTTTATAATTTTTAACACTAGACCTTAAAATACTTATTAGATAAATATCCTCGACAGTTTAGTATTTATTTTTTTTATCGAAAAATATTTTTGCTTAAAAAAATATATACGTTAAAAATAATATGACTATTGAGTTGTTCGTAAAATATTGTACTAAAAAATAAAACAAACTGTGTCGTTATACACTCTCAAGCATTTAATTTTAAACTATCGTTAGAACTTATAATTTAAAAATTGTTTTTTATTATTAACTATTATTTTGATTTGCCCTAAACTAGCGTTACTAGTGATTTATTAATTTGAACGTCAATCGGGTTTTAAATATAACATTTAATTATTATTTAAACTTATACTATATTATATTATTATTATATTTCTTAGTTGTTAGAAGAAAAAATTATGTGTTATATTAGACAACAACTTAAAATGTTACGATTTATAACGTGTTAGAAGATATGGAGTATAATTTTTTTTGTTTTATAAAATAAAAAAGACATTTTTTTAAACATTACGAGTACAAAATAAAAAAAAAAACTCACCTGCAATTCGCTGACCAATTTTTCTGTCATCATTTTTGGATCGGACAAAACTAGCTGGTTGTTCTGACCGAGGGCTGCGGCAGCCGCTGCGGCCGCGGCAGCGACGGCCTGAACGTCACCGCCGCCGCCCGGCTGTCCGCCCACGGTGACCGCACCGGTAGGATCGACGGCCGACCTGACGGCCGCGGCCACAGCGGCGGCGGTGGCGGCCGCCGACGGTTTCACATCCAGTTCGTCTGTCATTTCCACGTTGTTCTGGTCTTGCATTTGCTGGTGTTGGCGCTGCACTTGTTGTGCGACCATGGTGATCGCCTCGTCGTCGGTGACGCTGAGGTTATCGGATTGCGTACGGATCGCCGAAGCGGCCGGCACTTGCTGTTGGTCAGCACCGCCGACGACTGACCCGTCATGGTTGAGCTGCATACCGTTCTGGGACGGCGCGGGCGGCTGCTGCTGTACGGACGACTGTTGGGCCGGTTGAGGTGACGGCGAAGAGACCGCCTGTTGTTGCTGTTGCTGGTGCTGTTGAAGTTGCTGCTGCTGCTGCTGTTGTTGCTGTTGGTATTGTTGACGTTGCTGTTGCCAAAAATCAGCGGCCGGGTTCATCTTGAACACGGGCCGCTGCAACAGCACCGACTGCTGTTGTTGCTGTATGTCCGCCGACATGGTGTCGTCGCCCAGCAGCTGCTGATGTTCGTGGCCGGGCGAGGCGCGAAGATCCAGCGGGGCCGAAGAGATCGTCTTGGCTGCGGGAGTGTGAAGTCGGCGGTAAAAAAAATTTTACTGCGAGCGGCGGCCGCGAATTTTAAATTTTTTTCCGCGTTAAATCCGCGTGGTATATTCGTTTACACTTTGCGACGCACGTGGCGGTAAACGACCGGCGGTTGGTGCGATTATGTTTTCTTGAATCTGTAAAATAAATAAAAATTTTAAATAAAAAAACATCTCGTGATAAAATAAAATTTTTTAAATTCGAACTTTGAAAATAGCGGTGTTTCATTAACGACGATATCGAAATTCTAACAATAACAACGTGAAGAAAATACAAGTTCGGTGCAGTACTTTAAGGCTGGCACCTTAGGTGTTCGCGGTACCGGAGTAGTCTTGAGACTGAACGGCGTCTCAAGACGGCGGCGCGCCGGAAAAACGTCGTCGTCGTACTTCGGTCGTACGCACGGTGGCGGCGTCGGCGGCGGCGGTGGCGGCGTCTTGTGTCGGCGTCGCGGCGCGACTGAGGAGATACGCGGCCAAGATGTCTTGGAGTCGCGGACATATCGCCGTCCTTGTCGACACCGTGTGCGGGCGGCCGCGCGCCGTCCTTGTCTAGTGCACGTAAGCAAAGGGGTCGGGTTTTCCCTCTTAGGAAGCGGTACCGCCGCGCGCGCCAGACGTTTTCCTTACGTCCCTTTTCTGCGCCGGCGTCCGCGGGCCGCCCCCGTCATCCCCCACCACTGCGGCTACCCTCGGTACGGTATAGCGCTTTCGGCCTTTTTTCTCCGCCAGCTCCTCCTCATTCTTTTTACGCGCTCTTCTTACTTTCCTTTTTTTCTAATTCTTTTCTCCCCGTGTTTTTTTTACCGACCGCCGAGCTTTTTTTCTCCCGTTCCGTTTCACATCCGATTCGCCGGCACCGCACACACATGTTCTGGCTATAACCATATCGTTGTATTCCAACGATACTCTTACTAATATTTATCATAAGTAATCCAACGTTTTCCTCTTTTCTAAAAGCTCGGTCTGTTTAAACGTATTAGTCGATATACTAGAAATAGACCTGATCGTTTGTGTTATCCTTTTTAAAAAAATTCCAAAAAACGTTTTTCGAAAGTGCCAAGCATATAGTCGTTTTCCTCGATTGTTGCTTTTTATTTTTCTTTATAATGAAAATTACTTAACGCTTCGACCGAATGCCGTCAACGAGTCCTACGGGTCCTAATCCGGACGTTTCTGTACATTATCCATCATCCGTGGCGCCGCCTGACGGACACCCCAACTGCGTTTCAACCCTTTCGTTCAGAAAGGGTTGTCTCGTTTCGCGCGTAGCCCGAGAGATTTCGTTGAGTGGCTCATCAGCCGTTCATGATGAAAACTATATTATTATTGTGTTGTTACAAAATGAAGTCGACAAAACACCTACGTATACGTCATCGGAACCGTTCACGACTGACACTCGAATGAACTATGATAATTAATATAATGAAACGTAGTGTAACAAGCGAAATTTGCAATAACACAATGTCTATGGTTCATGTGAACTGTAAATAGAGTAAATATTTGAAAAAAAATTACACCATTTGCAATGGACCATAATATAGTATACGCGGTCGGCGGTACAACATTGTTACAAAACCATACTACGCGATAAACGATAAATAATTAAAGAATTGTATTATCTTAGTAATACACATTACTATTATAACTTTTAATGATGAACAGTAAAATTAAAAAAAAAATAAACGCTTAGTGTGAATAAAATATTATATTCGTTTTATATATCTTATTAATTTATTATTAATAAAAAATCAGATATTTATTTTTATCTTGTTATGATTTTACGCGCTCAATAGCCGCTATACTGTGTATTTTGTATCCGAGTCTTGACCTAAAAACATTGGTTAACATTTAATAAATTAACCCACGCGATCTAAATAATATATTTATGTGCAATCGTTTTGTGTTTGTTCTTGGTAAAAAATAAATAAATAAAATTGGTACTGATAAAGTGAGCGGTTAAAGTCTTTTTCCTGTAAAAACAATATTGGCCTGGTTTGGTTTTAAAAAAAGAAACGGCGCATTGCTAGATTTTAAGAAAATTTTAATTTTCTCATTGAAACGACTCCTTTGATTGGGTTTTTCTTGTTTTAATGATCACCGTGTAGCTTTACTGTTAATGCGCGTTGACCGGATGAAACAACGGAAGATAAAAATTATCTTATTTAGGTATTTCCGAAGTTGACTTTACCGGTCGAACGATTGTTGTATTCGATTTGAACGTTTACAGACATTTTCCCGAGCCATCGCCGGATATCCTAAAGTGCGAACGTTTTTGGACATTTAAATATTCAATTCCGATTGTTTGCAAATTAGCTTTCTCCAATGTATTTAATATGCGGTTTATTATGCATGTCTACTGCTGATATTTATGTAGTATTATAAGTAAATACAATTATTATTAATTGAAGAAAATAATAGGGTTATGACTTATTACATAGGTTGATGAATTAGGGCATAACCGTAAGATAAGATTAGTTTGAATTCGATTTTAAAACAATCACTATGTGCACTTCGCCATTTCTTATGCGTTGTTTTGTGTTTGAATAAAAGCTATTTGTACTGGACACAGTGCAAATAACGAATATTTTCTATTAGTACCTAACCCATTGATAGAATGCGTTTATAATTTTTCCCTTGAGTTAGTTAAATGCCTACTGAAATAGGATTTCTAAAAGCAAATGAAATGTATAATGCATACCTACATAATAATATAGTATAAAGGTCTATTGCCATTTATCTATCTATTACTGAGAAAGTTATAGAACTAACTAACTAACGGGGGTAAATTAATTGGTTTGAAAAAGTGATTTTCATTTCGTTCCCCTTGATTTGATAAAAACTTCCTTTTTTTTTAAATAAATAAATTAGACAGACTCTTAAAAAAAAACATAATTATTTGTTATTGTAACTTAACCATATACTAACTAGTTGATTTGATGCGATAATGTTAATTATTCTTATTTGCGTTTTTCTAGGCAGATAATTCGCAAACTACATTATGTAATATTTAAGGAAGTATATTATGAACAAATATTATGCTAATAATGTTGTCACAATGTTTTATTTTTATACCAAACAAGCGTGCGGCTCGATAATCTATAGAAGTCGTTTGGACTCTCAGACTCTGTACTATAACATTTTTTATTTTTAGCTAAATAATTATACATACACATAACATTAGCCATATTGCATATTTTTATACATAAAATGTATATGATCAACGATTAGCGGCAACTCTGAAAACAGAATTAAAAAAGTACCGTTTTAGTCTTTCCACAGATTTTCTACAGATTCAGGTAAAAAAGTAAGTTTGACACTTTTAGAAATAACATAGAAAAGTATTGCAAGATCGTATAAGTCTTATAAAAATAATCTGGCTCTATGTCATATTATAGTGTCTATCGGTGTACGGACGGACCCGAAGTCCGATTGAGCTGTTCGCCATGATTATAAACGTTGAAATATTTTTGGATTTTCTCGATTCAAAAACTGGCCGCACCCGGGACACGCGGTAGCCAGGTGGTCGCGCCGGAGACAAGTAAAATAATACGGCTAACGGTTGTGCATAACGATGATTATTAAATATTACCTTCTACGGTTTGTTGGGGGGGACGGCGCGTGTCCTGAGCGCCTTTACGGGTCGACAAGGGGGTCATCGGATCAGGGCGCATATAAAGGATTGCCCCCTCGACACGCGCAGGACAACGGTCGTCAAAGGCAGCTGGGCCGCGGGCATTTATGAATAAATTCGCGGGTCGCATCTGCACCGGAGACCGCGACGACGGCGACAGCGGCCGCGGCGATGACCCGTTCTTTTGTTCCGCCGAAATAATAATAGTATAAATTAAACATTACAGCGAGAGAGAGAGGGTTTTTTAGATAAAATAAAAAACGGTTGGCTAGTCGTAATACCCTAGCAATATATTGTTGTGTTGTACGCGACACGGTGACCTTGGGGCAATCCCTTGGCGTACCGTTAGGCTCGTGTCTGAGTCCCCTTGTTTTTCGAAGAGGGAAATTTTTTTTAAAAAAATAGCCTTAAAGGCAGGTGTTGCTTAGACTCACGCGATCGTCAAGTCCAGCTGCGTGTTCCCCTTAATCCCGTCTCGTCTATTGTCCGGTATGTCCGAATCCAACCTACCTTTGCGCGTTGTGTGCAACAGCGATTGAAACAAAAGCGTCAGTTAACGTGCCTCGTGGTTAGGTACACAATATCAAATATTACTATACGACCATCCTATAACTTACTTAGGTATATAGCGTGAAGCCCTCAATAACAAGGGCTGACCACTTCGAAAGGCTAAACGCTACGTCAAACGCTCGTTTTCGTGCCGTTAATTTTTATGTATCTTCGGATTTTATACCGTTTTAAAATTTTTGTCGATTTGTTTATGTTATAACTTTATCGGTTTCGGAAGCGTTTCTTAAAAAACCCCTCGAGCTTGTTGCGCGTGAAAACAAGGCGGTCCATGTGACATGTTTTTAAGTACAAAACAAAACGTTATGTGTACACACGACATACAATTGTATACATGAGTATGTTTATGAAATTATATAGGTCCGACAAAATAATATGGGTAGGTACTTTGAATAGGGCGGGTGTTGTGGTATGATTATTATCAACATGACCGACACCGGCCTATATTTTGTCGACGATATAAAATATAATTTGGTTTTAGATAGGAAAACATTTTATCTTGTTAAACAAATATTGTCTTAGACAGAATCAAAGTTAAGTAATTCTAAGCTCTGCTTTTTGCGATACAGTAAGTGCAACTTTAAAATTGTTTAAATTATTATAAAAAATAAGTAATAGGTATAATAATATAGTGCACGCTTAACTCTTTCCATTTCGTGTTTGGCGTTCAATTCGTACGAGTAAAATTAATTAGACAGCTTATAATAATTTAATTTGTTCAGCTAAAAGAAGAAATTAGCAGTGTGACCAAAAAAAAAACACTAAGTTTTTAACCACAACGTTCTTGCACAAAATAATGTGTTTTCGTTTGTACTATAATATAATAAATGTTCGCTTACGCAATATAAAAATGGAAGTACTAAAATGGTAAAACATTGAAGATAAACGCGTATATTATTAACTCATTAGCTATAAAACAAATTTGTTAATAATAATT